AACTATGTTTTATGTAACGAAACCACGTATCCGGATACTTATGGACGGTAGTGTATATGGCCATAAGGACCACTTATACATGTGGACCTAAGCTTCTACTTCGGCTCTCACTCTCTAATTCTTAGGTTGCCATCTACACTCTAACAATTAAAGTCTAACCACACAAATTCATCCAAAAATACATCTAAAAATTTATGAACCCAAAATTTACCCATAACAAATAACCCAATTTAAGAAAAGAATACGAAGAGTAAATTTAAAATTTGAACACAAATAACCTTATAATTGAATACATAGTGAATGTAAAGGTGCTAACAGCACCTATAAACTCTGAAGCGTTAAAAAGAACTTAACGATCGTTTTTTCAGGGAAAACAATCAGATCATCGGTTCTTACCTGGAAATCGAAGACATAACCCTGGAGGATTACGGGGAGTACAAGTGCGAAGTAAGCAACGGCGTGGACGAGGAGATCACGTTGGCCGCTCACGTTTATCGACAAGGTAATTCTCGTAGCTCCGCAGAGAGGTGGAGAGGGAAGAAACGCGTGTTCCGCGGGAAAAAGAATCGCGAATGTATCCCCCGTGGCTAATTAACGAGCCGATGTGCTTTTAAACGACCCGCTCTACCGATTTCAATCGGATTCGATTTAATTCTCCGCTCGTTACCGTGGCCCAATTAATTCCGACCAATTAACCGAAATTCATACGCTCGTCGTGATTCCACTCGTTTCGACTATCGTTACAGGGAAAAACTTTCTACGTTTTCTTTGTTTCGTTTATCTGGAAAGTCGTTTGTCTTTCGGTGAAGACATTCTTTTTCTAGTCTCTCTTTTCTAAATCTTTGAGCAAAGATTTATATTGCATTTTTAATAAAAACTTGTGTTTTATTGTGCGGTCTTCGTCGGGAAGAGATAATTTTAAAATGAGAATGAATATGAAATAGAATAATTTTTTTAAATTATCAATTTTAAAGGGTTTTCGTCATATTCTTTTTTAATTTAAACCCTTTAAAGTTGATAATTTTTAAAAATTATTCTAATGACCTAACCTAACCCTTTATGCCTCTTATTGAAAACGCAAGAAAAGAATTTGTTTAAATTTTGCAATATTTTATAACAAATTGACGGGACTAGAAAAAATATTTTAAAATAGCCCAATTCTTGGGGAATAAAACAGAAAAAAATTTGGGTAAATCGGTTAAGTAGTTTCTGAGAAAAAAATTCGTAAATGAAATCTATTTTTGCAAAAGTGGGCAAAAATTGCAGATTTTTAAGGTTTGTTATTTCTTAATATATATCTCTGTTTTTTTGCTTGGATATACAAAGTATTTATACTATGAAACTATAGTAAATTGATAAATTCTCAAAATTCTTCCTGTTGAAATTTTCAAACTTCTAGATTCTCAAATTCTACCCCTATATTCCTAAATCCCTAAATTCTTAAATTGCCAAATTCTCAAAATTCCTGTATTGCTAATCTGAAAATCTTTAAATTGCCAAATTCCAAAAGTCCCATCTGATTAAGTCCCTAAATCACCAAATCCTACTCCTACATCAGTAAATCCCTAAAACTGAACTGTCAAATTCCCAAAATCCAACTTGTTCAAATCCCCAAATCCTAGCCTTATATTCCTAAATCCCTAAATTCCTAAACTGCCGAATTCCTAAAAATCCACTTGTCTGAATCCCCAAATTCCTAAATTCCCTACTCCTACATCCCTAAATTTCTAAATTGGCAAATTACTAAAATTCCACTTGTCCAAATCCCCAAACTCCCAAATCCCTACTTCTACATCCCTAAATTTCTAAATTGGCAAATTACCAAAATTCCACTTGTCCAAATTCCCAAACTTCCAAATCCCTACTCCTATATCCCTGAATTTCTAAATTGGCAAATTACTAAAATTCCACTTGTCCAAATTCCCAAATTCCTAAATTCCATACTCCTACATCCCTACATCCCTAAATCCCTAAATCCCTAAATTACCAAATTCCCAAAATTCCACTTGTCCAAATCCCCAAACCCCTAAATCCCACCTATCCAAATCCCCAAACTCTACCTCCACATCCCCAAATCCCAGCCCTACCAAATCCCCAAAATCCTACTTCTCCAAACCTGCAAACTCCTACAAATCCTCAAGTCCCCAACTCCTACCAGTCCCCAAATCCTATTCCCAAACTTCCCAGTCCCAAAATAGCAAATACACAACCCCAAAATATTCAAATTCCCATTTTCCTGTTAATCGTAGACCATAAGCTTCTCCTGACTCCCCGAAGCATAATTCGGCCATTTCACAGACTCTCCGGAGGCCCCAATCTGCCCGGCGTAATATTTGCTCAAGTCGAGCGCTGAGCGATGCGGAGAGTAAGGAAAAATAAGGAGAATATTTGTTTTTGCAGAGCCACAGTTCGCGTTAGGACTTCAGTCCAAACTCCCAAATCCCTACTTCTACATCCCTAAATCCCTAAATTAC